ATTGATAACAGATCCTTTGTGTTTGGTACAGGGTACAGGCAGAGGCTCAGACAGCTATCTAGAAAACAGCAAAGAATTGGAAAGTCACGTTCTTCACAGTGAGTGATATTCACTATAAATTGGAGAAAAATAATTGCTAGCATGAAAGCAGTGTGATTTTTCTGAACTTAAAGCCTTCATATAATTATAAGTACTTTATTACTAATTACAAAATTACATTATTGTGTAACAAGAGTAATGAAGAATCCTTGAGGCAGTTTTTAATCATGATCTTGTTTTCCAAAATAAATAATTTAATTAGAGCCTTGTTACTAATTTAAGAATTCTTAATTAATGACTTATGGCTTAAAGGACTTTTTGCACCAGTATATAATAAACTAGTTGTGTAATTAGTAGAAATTTAATGATTCAACTGCCAATTTCCAAATTATTGGGTTTAATATGTTTTTGAATTAACACTATTATGTTTTATATTAATTTAAAAAATTTTAATTTAGATATATGAGTCATCAGGTCTTAACTATAAACTTTATAAGATAAATGAATACCTTTCCAGATAGACTTTAAAAATAAAACAGTCATATAATAATTGGAACCTTTTGTTGTAATTAATGAAAAGATTCTATATAGTTGTTCCCTGTGTTTAATGTTCATATGCCTTCATGCTTCATGAGCGTTCTGGTTAAGGGTAATATTTTGGTGATGTAAAATAACAAGTATGATGACTGGCTGAACATCTCCAGGGAAGCAAACAGTTTGGTAGTTTCATCTTTCCTATTTTCACTTCATTTCTCTGCCCTGAGCAGGTCAGCATAGCCTGTTGCTGATATATCATAGTTATGTGATGACTGAACATTTACAGAAATCACAGTTTTGTGTTCAAGGCCTGGGGGAACAAAAGGCTGGCTCACACCTTTGACTTGTCTTTGTGTGTTACAGGGGATTCTCTAGAGAAGGGAGCCAACAGGGTATCAAAACATCATTATAAACAAAAGGAATAAACTATAGATTAATACCTCACGGTGGGACAGAAACTCAGAGGTCCAGTGACTGCTTCCTGCCAAGATCTGAGGTTTGAGAACCCTGTGATCCTGAGAAAGGAAGAGGAGCAGTCAAGGGATGAAAATGTAGAGTGAGCCACTGTCTGAGTCTGAATGCCTGAGAGATGTGAAGTGCTATACTTAAGGACAAGGGAAGACGAATGTCTTAGGTGACAAAGAGACAAATCTGTCTCTCCTTGTTCCTGGCTTACCCAGAGCCTCAACAGAGTGGATGATGCTGAACCATCTCCAGTTCCCCACTTTGTCTGCTTTCAAGAGATGCACTCACAGAGATACCAGAATCATGGAACGAACTGAACACACCTTTGCTGAGCAGTGTGTCCAGATGAAATGGATCCTCACACTTCGTCAGGTAGGAAAACCTTTTATAAATCCCTGAGGTATTGGTAAGATATACATTGTCTACCATATAGGACTTGTATACCAGTTCTAAAGAGGGTTCCAAGAGGAGGCCTGTGGTTGCCATGGTTAGCTTGGACAAATCATGACAGTTTCATGAAAGAAAAGCAGAACTCTTGATAGACCAGAATAATATGTTATCATTTTATACTACGAAGACTAGTTACCAATCACAGAAATAATGTTCACTTTCAGTAGAGCAAGCAGCTAATATTTATTGAAGGCTTGTCTTTATAATCTTTGGATAGTTTGAAGGAGAAACTCAATCTGATCTTTAAAAAATAATGATCCTGCTATACTTTGCATTTCTTTTATTTTTTCAAATGCTAACATCCTTAAAATATTTAATATCTTTACTTATTTAAGTGTTAATTCACATAAAGACCTGACTTTAGTATAAAGGACATTAAGGAAAAACTGTTAAAGGAATCTGTAGTAAATCTACAGACACTGCTTTATTTTTAATTATTCAACCATTGTGGAAAAAGTACAAATTTGAAATGCTTGACTATAGACACCAGTGAAAAGTCTTTAAAAATTAAGGATAAGCCTCATGTTTAGTATTAGATGGCCAATACAAAATGAACACATTGGTGTCTTTAGAGGTTCTTTGTCTCATAATAGTAAATTGGAGCATTAATTTTTACCTTACAGGTCTTTTGTGTGCATATTGTATGACCTCCAGATTATGTGATTCCTGTGTGTGTGAGCATGTGTGTCTTTGAATCTGTTTGATTTTCCTGTGGCTTTTCCCCCCTCTGACTCTTTTTCTTGTTTGGCTGTTTTTGTCACATTCTCATTTGTTTGGTTTTGATTTGTATTCATTTATTTTCTCATTATTTCAGAGATGCCTGGTGCTTTTATAACAAGAAACAAGAATGTTATGGATCTAGATGGGGAGGGATGTAAAGAGAAACTTCTGGGAATAGGGGGAGGGAAAATTGTAATCAGGATATATTGTGTGAAAAAATCTATTGTCAGTAAAAGGAAAATGAGAACATGTATGAGAGCAACTCTTGTGTGTTATTGAATCAATACCTTGAAAAATCTACAAATATGTAGTGAAAATAATACAGTATAGTAAAAAAATGAAATGCTGCAGTGACTTTAAACACAGAGAACACATAGAAGTTTCTATGTGAGACGAATTTATGTTTTTCTAAACAATCCCTGGAGAAAGAGAGATTGCATCCTTTCACACAGCTCCATTTGTGTGGCGTTGAATTCACTGGTCATGTGGACCTGAGACAAGCTGAAGTCATCTAAGAGAAGGGATCCTGGGCTGAGAAAATGCTTCCATAAGAGCTGGCTATGGTAAGTCCATAGGGCATTTTCCAAGTAGTGGTATTGGGAAGGGCCAAACCAATTGGGGGTGGTGTGACCCCTGGACTGGGTGGTTTTATGTTCTGTAAGAAAGCAGGCTGAGCAAGCCGTCTGGAGCAAGGCAGTAGGCAGCACTGCTCCATAGTCTCTGCATCAGCTCTTGCCTGCAGGTGCCTCTTTGGTTTGAATACATGCTGTGGATGGTGGTTCAAGACTTGGAAGTCTAATATGCCCTTTCTCCCACAACTTGCATTGGTCATGGAACCTCATTTTAATAGAATCCTTAAGACAATGGGTGTCTGGGTTTTTTCATATATAGTACATAACACCTTATATTATCTACCAGAGCTCTTTCTTTCTCTTCCTTTCTCCTAGCCAAGCCTCCAGCATCTACCTATTGCCAAATACATTCACACTTCCTATATACTATATTCTAAAGCATGTGCAAGATTCAAATATGCCATGTTGTTGCATATATGTTCTAATTTAAAATAAAATAGGACTTGAATCATGGCAACTATATGTTTAGGAGAATACTGTGGAGGATTAAGGAGAAACCATTTAAAGAGTATAAAGGAACACAGATATACATGAAAATGTTGGTAGAGAATAAGTCACATGTGTGTAGCACGGCATACTAATGATTTGGCCTGTCAATACCATTTACTGTGTGTGCTTGGTTATATTCCCAAGTTTCCGTAACTCTTTGAGTGCACAAAATTTAGTTTTCAGCCAGATCAGCATCAGCCTTGTGGGAATGAGCTCCCATCACTAAGAGTGCTCCAACCAGAAAGCAGTTAAGTATGTGGGAGGCAGGAATGACTGTAACCATAAACTGTCCTGGAACTTTGTGTCAGGCTAATGAACCTGCAGACCCTAAAACCAAGCTCTCTAGGACAGTGGGAATGATAGGGTATTTTCTATGACCCTCTTCTATCGTGTTTATTGACAGACATCACATGGGTGGCTGCAGCTGTTTAGGGACATCTCAGGAGAAGGCATGTCAAACAACATAGATGATGATCTTACCTGTTTCTTTTGGCAGAGCAATTTCACCTGAATCAAACATTCCCTTCTGGAGGGAGAAAGGAGTGTCATAAATGATAGGAAGCAAACACAGCTTAGGAATTTCATAAAATTGACGTGTAAAGTATTCACAAGCCATTCCCACAACCCACGAGGTTCCACAAACTACTGCTTGGGAGAGGATACACTCCAATAACCAAGCTCTCCTGTAAGAAACTTTCGGACCTTCCAGCTGCCTGCTGGTTGTGAAATGAGCTCCAGGGAGGCATCTTTCCTCCATCCTCTCACAGGCTGAAGTGGACATCATGATGATGTAATTGCCTTTAGCTACGCATGGCTCTATAAGAACCCGCTCGCCCACATTTCTGTACTAATAGCAATGAACTCATTGGTTAGCCAAGTTGGACTTTGGAGGAGAACTCTCTGTGGTCTTTCATTGCTGCATGCTTGCTCTTGTCTCGATCAGAGAAGTCAGACAGCCTCCCTGAGTTTTGTCTCTGTTGCTGTGTCTGTGGGCTCAGGTTCATTTTGGTGACTGCCTTGGTGGCAGAAAACACCGTGAAAACATGCAGAGACACACATAGAGACACACACACAGAGACACACAGATACACACACCTCTGGACTATTGAACATACACAGTGGGAAGGGAAAAGTGAAGAATAACGATAGCTCATGTGAACTTTGGGGTAGAATACTTGTTCAAAGAAACAGATTTCCTGGAATAAAGAATGCAAGTTTTGCTCAGGCAAATCTACCCAAGACTTATTTCTCTAAAGGTGAATAATTAAGAGAAGATTCCAAAGGCTGCAAGGGAAATGATTCTTAGAAGTCCGGTATGGCATTAGAAAAACAAGTGATCAAACTAGGAAACTAACATTAAAGATTACCCTTGAGAAGTGAAGGAGAGATAAGTCATTAGCAAGCACAATGTCTGGTCTAAGTCTCCCTTTCTTGTGTAATGAGAGATGCTAAGGAATATTTTGTAGATTAATACAGATACTCATCATGAGAAAAGAAACATAAGAAGGTATAAAATTATACTCTAATGATAATTGAACTTACAAATTAAGTATAAGTAACTAATACAGAAATTAGAAATATGTAAAATAGATTTTATGATTCAAAATATTAGTGGAAATAACTAAGTTTAGATTTTTATTAGTAGAGTTCTTGATCTTTTCCCGTGATTTTTATGTTTGTAGTTAGGTTGTTTCTATTTTTGATAGTTTCCTATAATTCCAATGTGATTTCCAACCTTTGAGACAATCACAGATGAAAACCTGTAATAGATAAAAAGATAATAACCAAAAAAATCAAAACATAGTGCTAGAACAAATTACTTAAATATAATGTATATAGGGAGAAAGGAAACATAAAAATCCAGAAAGTATGCTACATAATGTTAGTATTAACAGCTTTCCAGGATTAATTGTCACCTTGAATGTAAGTGGATTAAATGTTCCATTTAAATGACCATCATATCCCAGTCTAATATAGGCATATTCTCAGCTATTTAGCAAGAGAATGGGAATCCCAAATTCAAAACTGACCTGAATTACATGTGCATTCCTTCGTGCCTAAGCAAATCAGTCTGATTCTATTGTCCTAGTGCATGAACACAAGTCACCGGAAGCTTTGGTAGTCTACTGTGCCAACCTGAAATCAAACCGATAAGTCTATTTAGAACTTCCTGTTTAATCTTCCTATGAGTGATGACTAACGCCTGCCGTGATTGAACTGGAATAAACAGCTCACACTGAGGATACCATTTCTCAATAGAATGCATGCTTAATTCTACTAATTGCCTCTAGGACAGCTTCTATCAGCCACACACTTTGTACATGATAATAATCTTATCATCAGCTGCTATTGAGGCAATTAAAATTCATGTCTACACGCACAGGCCAAAACAAAACTATGCATTCTGATCACTATTCCACATACACAAAAAAAGTCTAGGAGACCAGTTCAACTTTTTATTTTCAAAAGCCTAAGAAACATATAAAAATTATTTATATATACATATACAATCTATTATATCATATTCCAAGTGAATGGATGGCCAACTCACAAAATGTTTCTAATTGCAAAATCAATTATTTCAATCAATTTCTTTCTATATAAAGTACAGCTTAACAAAGAGCATGGTTTGAGCCAGTATATATTGCCCCCTTCAAGTATTAATTTTTTTATTTGTTGATAATATTTAAAATCATGTTAACTTGGTTTTTACATTTGCAGTATCTGAAAATTTCAGAAACTATTTGTAAATAAATTATGAGTGGATAATTCTTACATTTACTTCCTTCATAGTGTTATATAGATTGTCCTGTTTATATCATCAATTATGTAAACTTTTAAATTTCATTATTTATAATCTTAATAATTAGGGATAAAGAACATATAACTGATATTACTTAACAGTCAAATATGTCACAGTTTTTTATATAGCGTTTTTATGATTTCGCTAATGAAATGAAGGCATGATTAAACTCAAGCAGGTAACATTTCAACAAACTAAGTCAAGTGGGACAAATAAAAAATGAAAATACATCTTCCTGGAGTTTTCATTCATGTGTGAAATGTTCAAGCTGTCCAGATTCTTTCCCCTAGAAAGTAGAAAATGTGTTGCTATGATGTCATACAGCACCACACAAACTACTCTGGGAGACAGGTTGGTTTGTTTTAAGAATGAAACCTTCTTGACCACAGAGGATGGAGTACTTTGAAGTCTGATGCAGAAGGACTAAAAGTTAGAGACCAGTCTGGTCCAGATGGAGAGAACCTATCTAAAAACCAAGCCAATAAAGCCAACAAAAAGTAGAATAAAGCATTCTTTAAATATATGAGTAAAATATTATGTATGAAAATATAGACTTTCACATTATACACATTTATTTTTTATATGGCTTAAGAGCTAGCTGTAATTTTAAGTAATTTCTAAGAGCTAGTCTAAGGCTGACACCTACTACAGGGGAGACTGAGATGATGGGTTTGAAAAAAGCAAAGAAAGCCACCATGGTCCCCCAAACATTAGTCCAGGTTAGCATTGATCAAAAGAAGAAAATGAAATTTAGTTGAACTTTTCTTCCAATCTCTTTTAGACTTGATTTTCATAAAACAAATACATCAAGTTTTTGCTGATTTCTCTTAAGTAGCATTTATTTCTCTGGTGACAAGACAATTAAAGTTGTCTTTTCGATTTTGTCCAACACCATTTTCCTTCTCCCCCTTATTTAGCATCTTTTATCTGACATATTCATAGTTACCTGCCTCTGGCAAAGTCTCCTTTGCTCTGATTCTTTGACTTCCTCTCAAGCGGCTCTATCTCTACTACCTTGGTGACACCGCCATTTCGCTCCAGTATTATCAGTTCTCATTTCCCTGTGTTGATAAATGGAGTCTTTTAAAAGCTCTCATCTACGATTCTGAGCTCTGGCTAAGGCATCTTTCTGAAGGCTCAATTTGATGATCCTGGAGCCAGCATCTCAGCACTTTTATCACAGATAGACAGGGATAGTCAGTGTGGTTTCCTCCTGGGATGTGCGACTTAAGTCAGGTTACAGTGTTTGAAACTTAACTACTTATCTCGCTGTTTAAAATACAGTCTCTGCCTCAACTAAACCCATGGGCTTGAATAAGCAGGGTTCTCCCTGTGTTCTGCCAATCAGGGCAGAGGAAGGACAGAGGGTCTGAATCACAGGAGAGGAAGGACAGAGGGTCTGTCTCACAGGAGGGGAAGGACAGAGGGTCTGCATAACAACAGAGGAAGGACAGAGGGTCTGCATCACAGGAGGGGAAGGACAGAGGGTCTGCATCACAGGAGGGGAAGGGCAGAGGGTCTGCATCACAGCAGAGGAAGGACAGAGGGTCTGCATCACAGGAGGGGAAGGACAGAGGGTTGGCATCACAGGAGGCGAAGGACACCTTTGTGCTTGGCTACATACACTAAGATATACCATGTTTTGAAAGATTGAGTCCATTTCTTGTTTCTTTTGCTTGCTATGCTGTAATTTCTGTTGTCAAGAGAGGAAAGAAGCATGGAGACTTAAACTTTGTTACCTTCTCATATTATTGGGTCCTCTATATCCTGAGTCATCATTCTAAGGGTCTCCGCCATCTACTGCAACAGTACATTTTAGTTTGCTGCTTATTTGTGAGTAAGTTTAGCAGCATCTTTCTCTCTCAGCTCTATTAACCCACTGATACAACTTCTGCTGCTTATACTTCCCCTTGACCCCAATGATCTAAGCTGGCGTACACCAGCCCTCACTTTATTCAGCCTCCTGTAGCCACTATTGTATCTTCAATACTGCTCAATGTTTGGATTTCCTGCAGAGGGCGGATAGTAATTTTACAGAGTTTCTGTTTCTGTCACTGTAGTCTTCTACTCTACACTCGTCAAGGACTTCAGCACCTAACCATATTCAGTAATGCTCATTTTCTTGCATGTGTGAATTTGAAACGAGCACTATGCTGCTATCAGGTGGGAAAGATTCAGGCATTGATATTAATGCAGTGTGGACACTGATATAAACGTGTATAACATAGGCATAAAGGTGTGACTGCATCCATAAGGAAATACAGGTATGGAGAGCTAAGTTACATTGAGACATCACTACTATTCATTCTCCTGCCTGTGGAGAAGACTTCATTTTCTCTAGAGGTAGAAACATTCTTTGTGTGTCTCCAGGGGACCTTGCAAACGTCTCTGTGAGCACATTTCAGACCTTGGTCCACTTTCTGGGCTGTAAGTTACGTGAGTAGCCACAGTAGTGCTGGAGAGCTTGCCCTGGTAATTAGGATGAGGGAAAGTTGTCAGGTTGACCAGTCCAGCTACTAACCAGGCCCAGAAATGCCTATAACTAAGCATACCAACATGTATCTCTATTATGAACTTCTGGAGCATGTGTATGGGCTGGACCGACAGATTCAACGCCTCAAGATCCCTATGACACAGGGCAACAATAGGATATTCAAGAGGAGTTCCCTGAAGGCCCAGTACTGAGGGTGTAGCAGAAGACGTGTACCAGACCAATGACTCATTGCAATGGGCACTTGCAAACAAAGATGTGTGGACTAACAAATGGGTGTGCTGTGTGACTCGCTGTGTAACACTACAGCCACCATGCCAAGAATTTTTTTCTGTTTTTTTATGTTTTTTTTTCAAATTCCATAATATTTTATTTTGGGGGAAGGATGCAAGGGCAGAAGATAGATACGAACAGATGGGGAGATGAATGGGATTGGGAGGAAGTTTTGAAATCCACAAAGAAGCAATAAAATGTTTTAGAAAAAAGAAGATGAGGATGATGCATCACACATTTAACAAGAAAATGTTTCTTGAAAAGGGGCAGAAACTAGGGGCTGGAGAGATGGCTTGGCTATTAAGAGCACTATTGCTCTTCTTCCATTTCTACCACCCACATGGTGGCTCACAATCAATATTGTATATATATATACATATATATATCAAAGGATATGATACTGCTGATAATACTTTCTGACCACTGTGGCCACCATGCAGACACATGGTTTGCATATCTATATCTATATCTATATCTATATCTACCTATCTATCAATCTAGACATTCAAACACATAAAATAAAATAATTCTAAATGTTTCTAGAAAAGCGGGGATTAAACAATGCCAATATCTATTATTATTGTTATTATTATTTTATTAATATACCTAGTAAGAAGAAATTTAATATTGAATGTTAGACCTATGTGAGTAATATTATCGCAAAGTACTTGCGTCCCCAGACAGAACATTGAAGAGACAGACATTCCATCACATAAAATGCAGTACATGGTTGTGATATGGTGGTACATGCCTTTAATTCCCAGCACTCGGGAGGCAGAGGGAAGTGAATCTCTCTGTTTTGGGGGCCAGCCTGGTCTACAAGCGTTAATCCCAGGACAGGCTCCAAAGCTACACAGAAAAATCCTGTCTTAAAAAAAAAAAAAAAGATTCAGTACATGAGCACCTCTATGTCCAATTTTTTTAGTTTGCTAATTTTAGAGAACATCTCATATTGTACTGTAAATAGAAGTAAAAGAAAGCGATTACTGGATGAAATAAGTCACATACAAGAGCAAATAGTATAATGTCATGATGTCATGTGTGCATCTAATTAATGACAGTGAGTCCTACCCAGGATGTGCTATGGTTTGCTAGGTGTAGACTGGGGCTGGTATAGTGGGAAGCAGAGGAGGTGTGTTTTACGTCTACCAGCAGCGAGGACACAGAAGCAAAGCAGTGCGCACTGTGAAAACCGAACTTTAGATTTTACTGCATAGTAGAAATTTGCTGTGGAAGCTCATGTACATTTACCTCTCCCCACACCACATACACGTGTGCTTTGTAACTATGGACATGTTGAGTAAGTTGCCGTGCTTAATTATTTAATTGCTATGCAGATATAGGTACCAACATAGAAAACGCACTGCATTGTGTGTCTTAATTATGCACAACAAAATGAAAACTTCCATTTAGGCGTTAGTGAAAAACAAACATCACAGTGTTGTCTGCTTTGTCCTCAGTGAAGGGACTCTAGGCAGCCCAAGCATGGCAAACATGGCTCTAGGCAGGCCTTGCCCTTGTCCCTATCCCCCCCCCCCCCATGTCTTGCTAACAGCCACTAGATTGCAT